ATAATTCTACATATTTATGAGATACAGAGTGATATTTGAATACATGTATATAATGTATAATAATCAAATCATGGTAATTAGCATATATATCACTTCAAATATTTATGTCTACTTTTTATACTTTCTAATTCTCTGTTGAAATTCTCTATCTTGTCATTTTTTCCCCCAACATAAAAATTGCAGTTGTTTCAGAGTCCATATCTGTTAATTTCATTATCTAGATCTCCTGTGAGTCTGTTTCTATTGACTTTTTTGGTTGGATTTTGGCCAGTTCTTGTCTTTTTGAATGTTGGAGTAGTTTTGATTGAATGCCAGACTTTATGTATGGAAATTAAGGAAATTGGATAATGATATCTTCCTCTAGACAAAATTTAGTTTTTTTCTTTTGTTTCTGGTAAGCAGTTAGGCTGGCTTATGTCTGGTTTACCTTTATTCCAAGAGTGTAGCCATTAAGGGATCCCAACCAAAAATATGGGCTTTCTACCTGGACCCCTCCTTTTTGACTCTACTTTTTGATCCCTCAGCCCTGTGAGACTGATAAAAACTCTACTCATTTTTTCAGCCTCAGAGCTATAGCTTTCTTTTCCATTTAGCAGCCTTTTAGTATGTATACTTTTTTCAAATTCACAAATACCTCAAGCTAAAAAGCATAACCAAATGTTATAATCATCTCTTATAATGCCCATCTCTCTGGAATCCTGCACCTTCAAACGTGTACTGCCTTGTTAGAATTCTGATTCTCTCAGAAATATTTTTTCTTTTAATTTTGTGCAGCCTACCTATTTGTCTTGGTGGGAGATTGATTGTGAAACCAGGAAATGTGTCAGAAATAAACAAATCCGATACTAGATTATAGCTTTTTGAAGGCAGAATATGTGATTTGTACTTTGCTGTGTCCCCAGCAATACACAACATTTGGCAAAATATAATCACTCAATAAATGCTGTTTCTGAATGAATGAGTGAATGGATTTTCTGATGAAAATAGTGCAGAAATAGAGCAGTATTTTGTAGAATATTGTCCAAAGTCCATTAGGGAGATTACCAAGATTTTTTTTCTAAAATTGTGAATTTTGACTTGCTCTCTGTAACTAAGTATGTTTCTCATTTTTCTCTGATCTTTTTAAAGTAGACTATTGGAGCTAATCAATGTAATTGAGTAAAAGAAGAGAGATGGGAAATCAAAGAACACTGAACACTTTTATGTTTGCAGCATTAAAGGTTGTGCTTTATCTGGTCGAGAGGGTCCATGCCTATAGTCACAGCTGCTTAAGGAGGCTGGGGTGGGAGGATCGCTTGAGCTCACTCAGGAGTTTGAGGCTATAGTTTGCTGTGATGGCACTTGTGAATAGCCACTGCACTCCAGCCTGGGCAACCTAGCAAGACCCCCATCTCTAAAAAAGGAGAACGTGGTCCTTTAAACATTTCGGATGGCAAAATACCTAGATGGATGAAAGCTAATGATGTGCAAATGAATACAGCTCTTGAGAAAATTCTGGTGGAACATCACCAAACCAAAGAAATAAGTGGCAGCTATGAAAAGTCTATTTTTAACAGCTGGCTGGGCATTGGACTCTATTTGTTAAGCTTATTCATTCTAAATTATCACATTGTAAAAAAAAATAAATTATCACATTGTTTTCAGGGGTGAAGGGTGGGAGCTGTTTTGGTCTTCAGCCATTCATTGGTCAATGACATGCTGGGCATGTGGGACATATCTTTCAGGCCACTGTAAGAGTGAACTCGCTTCTTCCTCCTTGTCCTCTGATGTGAAAAAACAGAACAAATGTATCAGCACCATTTAAGGCTGTCGTTTATTAAAAAGATGGCTTAAGAAAGCAATGACCCATGTTTTCTGCTCTTGTTTATCTTTAGAAATTGCCTGTGTTTTACCGGTACTGATGGATGGCATACAGAGTCACCCCCACAAACCTTTCTACACAGTTGGTGAGAAGGTGACCTTTTCTTGTTCAGGTGGCATGTCCTTAGAAGGTCCTTCAGCATTTCTCTGTGGCTCCAGCCTTAAGTGGAGTCCTGAGATGAAGAATGTCCAGTGTGTGCAAAAAGGTGAGTGGCTTCCGTGTCTATCCAAGGACATGTGCACCCAGGCGAGTGAGAGTCCTTGTGGTGAACTTCATGGCACTGTATTATTGTAATTGTGAATGATTCCCTCCATCCCTGTCCCCTGTGAGAAAGTCTGTAGACTGGGTAACATGGTTTTTTTTTTTTTTTTTTTCCAAATGGCACAGAAAGACTCATGGAATGTCAGGAAAGGAAAGGATAGCCCTAGTAATTCTGAAACTTTTAACTTAAATCCTCCACATGAAAGGTTAGTTTTATATCTGTTGTGGTACTGAGAAAATGAAGGATTTTTAAAAACTGATTTTTGGTTTCCTCCTGATTTTTTTCCTGCACTTACTTTTACTAAGTATAGAATTGAGGTCATAATTTATATAAAATTCTATAGGTTTCATTTTTGGACTCTCAGTGAGTTTATTGGCATTTTTGAAATTGAAAATTTAAAAAGCATTTCCACTTAACATCACAGACATTATCGAAGGAAAAGTTTTGTGGTTTGTGAAGTTGTTCTTAATAGTGGAAATCCAAAAATCGAGTATTTTGAACACCAGGAACATTAAAATGGTCTTTTAAGAACCTAAGGTAGGAAGGGATTTAGAAAGCCAAACTATTTCTTTTCAGAGATAATTTAAGATGAGGTGGATTTGTTTTAAAATCACTTCCTATTTTTACTTTGTTTACATTTGTTTAATAAATGGAAAATACATTTGTAACGAAAACAAGAATGAAGAAAAACTCAAGTGTATGCTATTATATATGACATTATTTCTCTAGTGTATGATTTTTTAATTAAATGCTGAAATTTTTCTTAGAGTGAGGATGAAGTACTAGATTCCATTAGTGATACTGTTAGGTGAATTAGATGTTTACAACTAAATGTTCCATGTAACAGGCATGGAGAATGGGCAAGAAGCAAGTCCAGTGGAGTGATCCCTCTGCCAGTCCTGATATGCTCTTTAGCTGTTGAGGCCTCGTATCAGAAGGCAATTACTTTGTTTTCTACATACACTGGAGCATACATAAGAGTTTACGTGGGATATTTAAAGTAATGGACCTCTACTTATAATTCTAAAATGAAAGAGAACAATATGCAGTTGATGAGGTCGCACTTCTGTTCCAGATGAGATTGTAGACTAGTCTTTCTAAAATGCTGCTTCAGTCATTTTACAGCACAGTTTGTTGTTAAGTTTCTCCCACTCAGTAAAAAATTCCATTAAAGTTGAAAAATATCAAGGATATTTTTCAGACCT